AGACTGCAGATACACAACAGAATATAGTCAAAGACTATGGCATGATAAAAGAGATGGTCTGAAACTCTGGACATAATACAAGAGATAGAGACCGTGGACATGGTACAGGAGATTTTCGGAGACTGTGGACATAACCTAAGAGGTGTTTAGGGACTGTGGACATAACCTAAGAGAAGGTTGTACACTGTCAGAGGCTGTGAACATGGCATAGGAGCTGTTGGCTAGGGAAATACTCTGAGTGAGACTGCTGGGAATCATGCTGGTATGTAGCATATTTGTTTACAGGCTGGAATTACTTTACTTTCAACTCTGTAATGACAGGTCCACTTTAAAATGATCCTTTACTTAGGAAATCCAGAATAAAAGTATGATAAGTGTATGAGCAGAGGTAGAACCGCATATCAAGGCAATCAATAGAGATGAGAGCTGAATTCATAGATCTTGTGCTGGTAAGTTCTCGTCAACTTCTCTCTCCCAAAGCTTCTTTGGTCCTTTTTAATGTAGTTTGTAGCCTCGCTGTCCAATATGGAGATGCAGAAGATGTGGGGGGTGGGGCCAACTTTTACAGAAAATATTGAGATTTCTATATCATTTTGCCTGCCTGTATCTACCTTGGATCTATTGATTGGCTTTGGAGTCATTTGTTTACACATTTTTCATCTTGTGCTCAGTGTGGTTTGTCCAGTTTTTTTTTTTTTTTTTTTTTGTGTGTTTTGCTATGTAAACACAGAAAGAAATCGCAGGTCTTTAATTCTGTTTATCCTTGAAAGGCTTTTTGCATACACTGCCTTGAAAGAGTATTCATACCCCTTGATATTTTCCACATTTTGTCATGTTACAACCAAAAGCATAAATGTATTTTATTGGGATTTTATGTGATAGACCAACACAAAGTGACACATAATTGTGAAGTGGAAGGAAACTGATAAATGGTTTTCAAAATTTGTGACAAATATCTGAAAAGTGTGGTGTGCATTTGTATTCAGTCCCCTTTACTCTGATACCCTTAACTAAAATGGATTCAGTTTCCTTCCGAAGTCACCTAATTCGTAAATAGTCCACCTGTGTGTAATGTAATCTCAGTATAAATACAGCTGTTCTGTGAAGCCTCAGAGGTTTGTTAGAGAACATTAGGGAACAAACAGCATCATGAAGGCCAAGGAACACACCAGACCCGTCAGGGATAAAGTTGTGGAGAAGTTTAACGCAGGGTTAGGTTATAAAAAAAAAAAAAAAAAAGCATCCCAAGCTTTGACCATCTCACGGAGCACTGTTCAATCCATCATCCAATGCAAAGAGTATGGCACAACTGCAAACCTACCAAGACATGGCCATCCACCTAAACTGACAGGCCAGGCAAAGAGAGCATTAATCAAAGCAGTAGCCAAGAGGCCCATGGTAACTCTGGAGGAGCTGCAGAGATCCACATCTCAGGTGGGAGAATCTGTCCGCAGGACAACTATTAGTGGTGCACTCCACAAATCTGGCCTTTATGGAAGAAGAAAGCCATTGTTGAAAGAAAGCTATAAGAAGTTTTGTTTGCCATGTGGGGGAAACAGCAAACATGTGGAAGAAGGTGCTCTGGTTAGATGAGACCAAAATGTAACTTTTTGGCCTAAAAGTAAATTGCTATGTGTGGCAGTAAACTATAACACTGCACATCACCGTGAACCCACCATCCCCACTGTAGAACATGGTGGCAGCATCATGTTGTGGGGATGCTATTCTTTAGCTGTAATTGCAGCGAAAGGTGGCTCTCCAAAGTATTGACTCGGGGGCTGAATACAAATGCACGCAACACATTTCAGATACTTATTTGTAAAAAAAAATTCTGAAAACCATTTATTTTCCTTCCACTTTACTATTATGTGCTACTTTGTGTTGGTCTATCACACAAAATCCTAATAAAATATATTTACGTTTTTGACTGTAACATGACAAAATGTGGAAAAATTCAAGGGGTAGTAATACTTTTTCAAGGCACTGTAGCTATATACAGTGAACTTAAAGGCATAGTCCACTGTTTGCAAAAATGTGACAAATGCACTTGCGTTAAAAAGTAAGAAATGTGCATTAAATGCATTAAATCTGTAATCCGTGCACTGTGGGTGCAATGGCTCCTGCATGGTTTATGTCCCAGGCCCCAAGTATGAAACTTTTGTTATGGGGCTGGAGAAAATAATCGTAGGACTAAAAAAGAGGTCATTTCACCAAACTTGGGCCCGTGTGAACTGTGAGTCCCTCTGCTGCGATGACAAGTGAGAATTGCAGCCGTTCCATTCACAGCTGTATGGACCCCTGAGAGAAGCAACCTACAGTGCAAGGCGGGGGGGGGGGGGTTGGGCAATATGACCATGTTTTACATCACGCCATAAATGTGGTTGTAACATGAATCATGGTTAGAAAGGTGGACTAAGCCTTTAATGGGAATCATGGTTAAATCATGGTTAGAATCATGGTTAGAAAGGTGGACTAAGCCTTTAATGGGAATCATGGTTAGAAAGGTGGACTAAGCCTTTAATGGGAATCATGGTTAGAAAGGTGGACTAAGCCTTTAATGGGAATCATGGTTAGAAAGGTGGACTAAGCCTTTAATGGGTATCTGCCTAGTTAAAAGGTGGATCTGCCTAGAAAGGTGGACTAAGCCTTTAATGGGTATCTGCCTAGTAAGGTGGACTAAGCCTTTAATGGGTATCTGTCTAGAAAGGTGGACTAAGCCTTTAACCCCTTCGCCGGCGCCTCCTGGTCCTTTAAGAGTTTCAGAATCCGGGAGGCGGGGCAGGGTTTAGAGTCATGGTCACATGATCGGGAAAGGTCCGATCGAAAGAGGAGATCGGGACCTTTACGTGAGTACCGGACATGTGTGCTGGGAGTGCGAAGGGCGCGCGCTCTTAGCACATGTTCATTTTTTAATAGAACGCAAATGTGCGGCCGCTCGGCGTCTAGGCCCAGACACCGGGAGGCCGCACATTTGCTTTCGGCCGGCGTGAAGAGGTTAAAGGGTATCTGCCACTTCCTTTATGAGAACATTCCCCCCCACAAGCTAATATTCACAGCCATTGCCCCTCCCCTGTTGCTTCCATGGAGCCCTCTGTAATGCCAGTTACTTCTGGTTATAGGAAAGCATAGGGCCAGAAGTGCCTTTCTTTCGTTCTCATACCCTTATAATATAATAAAACATAATGCAAATGTCATGCTCCCAATTTTAGCTCTGATTCCATAGGGAGTGTGTTGGGTCCTGCTTGCAACATCCTGGCAGACGACAGGCTTTCCTACTCTTTGCATATTTTTTGCTTTATACACCTGGAATGTAATAAAGTGTAGCAAAAAAATCAAAAATGTTATATATTGCAGCCTACTTGTAGATGATGTGGTGACTTCCTTTTTTTTTTCCAAGTTCTTTTGCTTTATTTTCACCTGCTGATCCTGCAAATAACACTTCCTGTCTCTGGGTGGCATCATCACTCCTCCACCATATTTATGGAGGGAGCCATGGTTGTCACCTTGGACTTAATATGGACTACAAACATGTCTGTACGACCCTGTATTCAGGCAAAATCGACAGGTATTTGTTGTATTCATTGAAAATGTTTTTAGCTTTGAAAAAAAAAGAAAATTAGGCAGCTGCCACATCTAAAGACACTAAGCTGCAGTTTATTGCATGTTTGTTCTGTGGGTTTAGTTGTCCTTTAAGCTGATTTAAATTAAAGCTTAGTTATGTTTTAAAAAAATAGCATAGACTTTGAGAGAAATAATTTTTTATTGTTTTGTAAAAACATGATTTTTAAATGTACACTTTTTTTTTTTTTTTTTTTTACAATGAATGTATAACTATGTTTCCTATTTTTTAAAAAATTGTAGATTATATTTTTTGTGTGGGTTAGTAAGCATTTATTTTTTAAAACCATTTATAAAAATTTGTGCACAGCATCATCATAACGTGAACAAAATTGGCAGCACTAGAGCACTATCTTTTAACACTCTGGGTACTGGACTAAATATAATATAAATAGTTCAGCATCTCAAGATGGGGCAGCAGTGAAATGGTTAATGCTGAAGTTGAGCATAACACTTTATTTACCTATGTTGGTATGTATCCCATTACGTTCAGGTTACTGCTTCATGTATGAATCCTTCCTTCATGCTGTTGGCTACTGCCCAGGTGCTGCAGGGGTGCTCCTATGTTTCTTTTCTGCCCCCCTCAGCCTTTCACACAACTTGTACTCTTATTGTCCCAGAATGCAACACTGAAGCTGAAGGAGTGGATGAATGACAGGATATCTACCTCCCATTCACAGACCACATTGCAGTGTGGGGCTGAACAAGAGAAAAAACTAAGGCCTTATTAACACATAGTGCAGCGACCAGTGTTTTATCGCACTGGGTGAATGTAGGTCACTGCTAGGACACACAAAAAACAATTGTTTCTATGGGGTAGATTTACTAAAACTGGTGCACTCAGAAATGGGTGCAGCTGTGCATGGTAGCCAATCTGCTTTTAACTTCACCTTATTTGATTAGGTTTTGGCAATAAAACTTGGAAGCGTATTGGTTTCTGTGCACAGCTGCACCAGATTTTGCACACTCCAGTTTTATTAAATATCCCCCTCTGTTTCCTGTACACCCTGAAACACAGTCCAGGGGTGCAGTTCAGTGAGCTTGGCTAAAATGCAGACATGCAGGGATCACGTTGCTGTACAGCAATGCAACACAGCGCATGCTGTGCAGTGACATGAATGAAACTGTCACTTTGCGCACTTCAAATAAAGTGAACACTAAAAAAGGGAACTGTGTAATGTACAACGCCCCCTACCGCCAGCTCACTGCAGCCAAGACTGAGAGGTGCCCGCATTCTAATGCACTTTTAGTGTGTGGAGAGTGTGAATGAGGCTTGTCAAAGCCTTCTCAATACAATATTGGCTTGGTTTTTGAGTTTTGCATATTCATTTTGTTATTAAATATATACTGATTTCCAATCTAAAACACTTCCAATTTTACAGATGACTGGATTGGATATTACCAAGGACCAAATAATTGAGATGGCTTGTATAATAACAGACTCTGAGCTCAACGTCCTTGCTGAGGTAAGTATTGCTGTTGGTGATCACCATGGTTGGCCTGGATAATAAAGGGACATAACCCTGATTTTTATATTCAGTTTCTTTATATGTTGTTGCTTTATATATAGCATTGTTGATGATTTTTACAAAGAATGATCTGACCCCAAAAAAAATTTCTTCTAGCGCCATAAATTCATAGACTTCTATGTGCTTAACCATTAGCCGCCTGGCCAATGGCCGTTTGGCGGCTTCAAATGTGTCTCTTCACTCCGGGTGCACGCCATTTGGCGTGCTCCCGCACATGCGCAGTTTGCGCTAATGCAGAGCGGCGCAGCAGTGCGATCTGTCACCGGCCGTGCACCTCGGACACGGCCGATGACAGATCCGAGTACCGGCTCCCGTTGCTGGTACCATGTGACCTGCTGTGACCAATCACAGCAGGTCACATGACAGTTGTATACAATGGATGGCTTCATTCATGATGCCATCCATTGTATACTAGTGCCTAGCTGTGAATGGTCACAGCTAATCACATGCACATGTCATGTGATTAGCTGTGACCAAATCACAGCTAAGCACAAAAAAAAAAAAAAAAAAAAAAAAAAAAGCTGAATGAATCGATTTCATTCAGGTAAATGCTTGCTTATAGCAAAGTAATTCTTTGCTATAAGCAAATTGTGTAAAAAAAAAAAAAAAAATACTGATCACTTCCCCAAAGTAGTACAATGTTACTATGGTAACATTGTACTACTTTGGTCATAGTAAAATATGAAAAAAAAATCTTAAAAAAAATGTAATAAATATAATAAAAAAAAAAATATATATTTTTTTTTTTCATACTGTCACCAGTCAGTGTCCCTGTTTACCGCCATGCCAGTTATATGATGACGCTGTACTGCACTGGTGACAGTATGTAAAAAAAAAAAAAAATAGTGAAAATAATTTTTTTAATTTTTTAATTTTCCGAAAAATTATGACAAAAAAATACAACTTCAAAAAACTCGCCATGCCTCTTATGAAGTACGTCGGACTGTCTACTCTGCAAAAAGGGGTCATTTGGGGGATATCTGTACTATTCTGACATTCTTGGACCTCAAGAAATTAGATTGGCTGTCAGTACTTCAGGATTGATCAATATTCAGATCTATACCATAGTTTGTGAACTCTATAACTTTCCTACAAACTAAAAAATACATCCTAATTTGGGTTATTTTCACCAAAGACATGTAGCAGAATACATCTCGGCCTAAATTTATGAAGAACAATTATTTATTTGTAAACTTTTATAACAGAAACAAAGAAAAATGTGGGTTTTTTTTCAAAATCTTTGGTCTTTTTTTGTTTAGCAAAAAATAAAAACCCCAGCGGTGATTAAATACCACCAAAAGAAAGCTCTAGTTTGTGTGAAGAAAATGATAAAATTTTAGTTTGCGTACAGTGTTGTATGACCGCGCAATTGTCATTCAAAGTGTGAGAGCGCTGAAGCCTGAAAAATGGCCTGGGCAGGAAGGTGTAAAATTGCACGGTATTGAAACGGTTAATATAAACACTGTACTCTCTAAATGTGGAGGATGACATTAAAGTGCCCACCTTCACTTTTTAGTGCCAGCATTTAGTACATTTTCTGCTAACAAAAACAAATCTAGTAACATGGTCATAGCTACTTGCTTTATACTTTAATGTTTGTCAAGATCCCATAGTTCGGTCCAGTCTATACTACCACAACGCTGCAATTTTCAAAACTTGCATCATCAGGGCAGTCCATCATTGACATCTGCATCAGATCTTGCACACAGAGGATCTGAAGCTGCTGGTGATTGTTTAGCTGATGCTTCGTAATGTCAGCCGTGCAGGTAACAGCTAAATTAATAATGTTTCCAAGATCACTGAGATCTTGCTCTTCAGCTCTGAGAACCTGGAAGGCACTGGTGCTGTAGCCTTCCATGATACAGCTGGAAGGCGCTGTCTGTCACCAGTGTCTGTGGGAATATGAGCCATAAGGGCTTGTTCACACTGCAGTATTTTTCCGCAATAGAAAAATGCAGGTCCCTGAAAGAGCACACAGAAAACAGTTGTTTTCCATGTATTCTGTTCACACAGCAATGGAGTCCCTGCGTGCTTTGCAGTGCGGAAAAATTCATACTGTGTGCAGCAGACCGGACCTCACTTGAAGGTTTAGTGTGCTCTGTGTTTCTATTCACTGGAGCTGAGCTACAGTGCATGGAAATGAATGAACATAGTGAAAAGTATACCTTATGGCACCTCTCCAAGCTATGGATAGAAAGAAAAAGATCACCCCACAGGCAAGTGAGAAGAGGGGAGCCTGAGTCCGAGCGATTCCAGTGTCCTCCAATACAAGTGAAGGGATGAATGCTGCTCAACTAACTTCCAGGTGTCCAAAGTTGAGGAATGGCCTCAGGCACCATTCTGGCCATACCCTCTGAGAGGGTGTGGCTGCTCCTAGCTCACTAGATGGGTGCTACATGCGTCCATCCTTCACACGGAAATTAATTAAATTTAATTTTGATATTTCAATGAAGAAGAGAAGAAAAAAGTGCAGTTTGATGCATTTAAACACATTGCACTACCACCTTCCAGACCTCACACTGACAGGTGCCTGCACAGTAAGGCCTTGCATTTTACCATACAGGCCACTGTGAACAGGCCCAAAAAAGAAAAAAAATATATAATTTAGTTTTGGAAAGTTTATAAGTGTAGAAAATAGATGCAAAATTGCCTTTTACTGCAAAGGGGTGACAAGTACACTTTAAAATGTATTGCTGTGTCCTACAGTATATGGGGAGATTTAAACAATCGGGTATTAATGAAAATTATTAGTAACTAATGATATCCTATTATTGCTAGCAGCCTCAAAATAGCTTCTTTATCAGTGTCATTTTCTATTTTGAGATAATAAGCACTCTAAATTTTCCTTTTTGAATTGACAACTTGCACTTCTCCTTTTTAAATCTAGAAATCAAATCTTTGTGGAGTATTTATAAATCCAATCACTAAAATACCATCTAAGCTTAAGTATGTTCATCTATTTTCAGTATCTTTTAATTTTGAAACTTATTGGGAAATACCTGGTGGTGATTCTGCAGTGAAGGTACTTTTTCAGACACTTCTTGTTATAGCTCACCTTATCACATTTTCTTCCAATGGTGACTACAAGAGGCCATGCCAACACACCTAGCACAGACTGTGTCTGCAGTTGTCACCATGCAGTCATCACTGACTTGCATGCATGACTGGAAGTGACTGTAAAGAGGCTACAGGAAAAACTTAGGCACTGAAATATAATAAAGAATAAAAAAAGTATAAAAGTTATTTCTTAAAGGCAGTTGTTTGACATACAGTGCCTTGACACATTTACATAGTACTTTAATTCTTTATTACCCTTCTGTTAATAACAGGGTCCTAACTTGATCATAAAGCAATCTGATGAGATACTGGATGGCATGTCAGAATGGTGCAAAGAACATCATGGAAAGGTAATATTCATGTGTTGATTTTAGGGTACAAAATAAATATAGAAAGCATTGGAGAACGCTGAAAAGAATATGCTCTTTTCATTGATGTTAATAATTGTCATGTTGTGTTACTGGCCAATTAAGGGATTGTATGGTTTGAGATCTGAAACTTTAAATCATGGAGGTTTCACTGAGGGAGAGAGCTAGAGAGAGTGCTGATTGCAGTAATATTGAGAGATCTAAGCAACACAGGGTGAGTTGTGTTATTAGGAGCCCTCTTACTAAGGTAGCACGGTGTTGAAGCATTTTTCATTTGGTCGCGCTCTGACCTGTCTTCAAGGCCTCACAATGCACATATAGTTACATAGTTAGTCTGGCTGAAAAAAGACAAAAGTCCATCCAGTTCAACCATAAAAAATGATTCAATTTGCTACTGAAGGGGAAAATATTCCTTCCTGATCCCCCGAGAGGCAATCGGATATTCCCTGGATCAACTATACCTATAAATGTTAGTAAGCAGTTATATTCTGTGTATCTAAGAAATAATCCAGGCCTTTTTTAAAGCAATCCATTGAGCTGGCCAGAACCAACTCTTGAGGGAGTCTATTCCACATTTTCACTGCTTTTACTGTGAAGAAACCTTTTTGTGTTTGGAGATTACATTTCTTTTCCTCCAGACGTAAGGAGTGCACCCTTGTCCTCTGTGATGACCTCAGGGTGAATAACTCTACACTGAGTTCACTGTATGAACCACTGATGTATTTATACATGTTGATCATATCCCCCCTTAATCTCCTCTTCTCAAGAGAGAATACATTCAGTTCCTCTAATCTTTCCTCATAGCTGAGCTCCTCCATGCCTCTTATCAGTTTGGTTGCCCTTCTCTGTACTTTTTCCAGTTCCCCAATGTTCTTTTTGGGAATTGGTGCCCAAAACTAAAATGCATATTCCAGGTGAGGTGTTACTAATGATTTGTACCGGGGTAATATGATATCTCTCTCTCTCTCTCTCCTTTTAATACAAGAGAGGATTTTGCTCACTTTAGAACCTGCAGCTTGGCATTGCATGCCATTATTAAGCTTGTGATCTTCCAGAACTGCCAGATCCTTCTCCACTGTTGATTCCCCCAGTTGTACCCCCCCCTAGTATGTATGATGCATGCATATTCTTAGCCCCCAAGTGCATAACTTTTATCAACATTAAACCTCATTTGCCACATATTTGCTCAATTAAACAGTGCATTGAGGTCGGCTTGTAAGTTGGAGACATCCTGTAAGGACGTTATTCCACGGCACAGCTTGGTGTCATCTGCAAAGTCAGAAATGGGATTTTTAATCCTAGACCCTATAACGTTTATAAATATATTAAAAAAGTAAGGGTCCCAACACTGAACCTTGGGGTACACCACTGACAACCCTAGACCATTCAGAGTATGAATCATTAACCACTACTCTCTGAATACGATCTTTTAGCCAGTTTCCATCCATTTACATACAGATTTTTCCAAGCCCGTAGACTTTACCTTACACATTAGCGGTGTGTGGGGAACTGTGTCAAACGCTTTTGCAAAATCCAAGTATACCACGTCCACCGCCACCCCTCTGTCCAAGTATACCACGTCCACCGCCACCCCTCTGTCCAAGGTTTTGCTCACCTCCTCATAAAAAGAAATCAGATTTGTTTGACAATTTCTATCTTTCATGAATCTATGCTGTCTGTTGCTTAAAATATTTTTTTCCAGCAAGAACTCATCTATGTGGTCTTTAATTAAACTCTCTAGTATCTTCCCAACTGTATACGTTAAATTAACAGGTCTATAATTACTTGGTAAAGATTTTGACCCCTTTTTAAATATTGGCACCACATTGGCCTTACGCCAATCCAGTGGTACTATGCCAGTCATTGAAAAGTCCCTAAAAATTAAACAATGGCTTTGAAATGACAGAGCTCAATTCTTGAAGGACCCGTGGGTGTATGCCATCCGGTCCAAGTGCTTTATTCACCTTTTTATTTTGTCTAAATATTTTTGGATCATATCAATTGTGAGCCAATGTGAATCATCTGGAGCTGTGTCAAGACCATGCCCATTATGGACAAGAGCTCCCCATTCTCCTTTTGTATACACAGAGCTGAAGAAGGTATTATTTAATAAATTTACCTTCTCTGTGTCCCCAGTCACCCACTTCAGATTATTTTGTAAAGGGCCTACATGCTCGGACCGGACCTTTTTTACTATTAATATATTTGAAGAATTTTTGGGGGTTTGTCCTGCAATTTTTTTGCAATCTGACATTCATTTTAAATTTTTTTGCGGCCTTTATTTCCTTTTTGCATATTCTGTTATATTCTTTATAATGTTTAAATGATGATAGCATTCCTTCATTTTTATATTTAATTAAATCTCTTTTCTTATTATCTATATCTTTTTTAACTTTGGCCATAAGCCTCATAGGTTTAATTTTTAGCCTTTTAAACTTGTTGCCCATAGGTATATATGTTGCAATGTGTTCACATAGTCTTTTTGAAGAACTCCCATTTCTGTGTTGTGTTCTTCGATATTCCCTACTGCTTCAAAATCCACTATTACCAGGTGTATAAGGCAGCTCATCTCAAGAGCTTAGGCTGTAAAGGATAATATACCTTCAGTTTTTTTACATGCTCACTCCACCAGATTGGTGGTTGTTTTCTGGGCATTGTGCCATTAAGCCTCTGTTACCTTCACAACATTCTACCAGATGGATGGCCAAGCTTCTGAGGACGTAGCTTTCAACTGCAAGGTTTTTGCAGTAGAACTCTGACTTGGGTCCATTGACCCTTGTGTGTGTGTTGGGCTTGTTGGCATATTTCTGTTTGCTTTGTTGCTGCTTACCTTTGACTTTCATTGGAGATCTCCCAAGGTCTGTGAATGGAATCCATGAAAAAGCTTATAAGATGATTACAAGAGTTTTTTTTCTTTTTTTCTTTTTTTAAATAAAAAAGGTAGTGGTGCGCTGAAATGAAATTTCTGGTGCTAAAACCAATACCGAAAATTCAGAATGCTTGTGGCTGAAAACCAAACCAAAATGTCTGCGTACGTTAAGGTGGGGAGGCTCCAATCCTTCTTTTTTTTTTTTTTTTTTTTTTTTTTTTTATCGTGTGTGTGTGTTGTTTTTTTTTTAAACTTATGATTTTATTGCTATCACATAGGGGACTGGCTTTTTTTTTTCTTCACTATAGCTCACAGAATTGGCTGTCACTTTCCCCGGAGCTAAAGGAAACTGTTTCTTTTATCTCGAGGAAAGAAACAAAAGGGAAACGTTTCTTTTAACTCAGGGAAAGAAAGTAAAAGGAGACTTTGTTTCTTTTAGCTGGGGGAAAGTGACAGCTAATTCTGTGAGCTATAGTGAAGAAAAAAAAAAGCCGGTAATTACATTTAAAAACTGGCACTGACATATAGTGACAGCCGATCACTGTATACACTGCTCCTCTCCTGCCTTTCTCAGCCGTCTGCCCCCTCCCCCCTTTCACATCTGCAGTGCACACAGTCTCTTGTATCGGCACTGTATCGGCTAAATTTTTTCCTTTTGGCAAAATGTCGATAGGGCTATTTTCGGCCGAGCTATTTTGGTGCATCCCATTAAAAAAAAAAAAAAAAAGAGTAGTTGTGGTTGCGTATGATCTTTTGTGGAGCGATGCTGCCCACTTTTCTTAAGTTACTTCCAGGTTTCCAGGCCTAGGCAAATGTCATACATCCCAGGAGTCTTCAGGTGGGGAGAAGGGGTTTTCTCAGCTAAGCACACCCTCCTGCATGCCAGAGCTAAGGGCTGATGGATTCCAGGAAGTAAATGCTATGTGAATCATTTGCCCTTACTCAAGATAGCTACTGCCAGGCAATACTGGGGGGGTTGAAGTAATTTCCCAGCAAGGGGGGGAGGGGGGGCGTGGCCAAGCAGGGCATGTGAACGGCTGTGCTTCACAGAGCTCCCGTTACTAATCCTATCACCGATCTTTTACCGGAGAGATTTTTGTGGCTCCTGCAGAACAGTCCTGGGCACTTCTACATCCTAGAGGTGAGCCTTTACCTACAATGATGACCCATAAAAACAGGGAAAATTTGGCCAGCACGGACTTCCAACATGGCACCTGCTACTCCACAGCTGCAGCATTCTCTTAGAGGAGGAGGTGACGAGATGAAGGAGGCTGCTGGAAGGTCTGGTAAGACAAGCCGCCCTGTGGGGAAGGAGGGCTCCCGGGACATGCTTTATTACACCCAGAAGATCACAGGATCCCAGAATTCACACTCAGGCAGCCCCCACCATTTCTCCCCCTGTGCTGCCTGCTACTCCGTTACAGCTGCAGCCTTTGGGAGAGGAGGAGGACATGCAGGCTGAGCAGTGTACAGAGAGGGACACTGATCACACTGAGAAAAAGCAGCCAACTTGAGTGGATATCCTTAAGGCTGTGTGGCATTGTACTGCATCGGTACACTCTGTGAAAGGACAAGTGGTGGGATTGAGAGAAGTTAACTTTCTCAGACATGACATCCAAAAAATAAGAGAAGGACCACAGCTGTGAAGAGTCGCATAAGTGACCTGGAAGATAAACTTCTCCCATTGCTCTCTGATAAGCGCTCTACAGCACAACTAGCTAAGACTAATAATGTCAGAATGGATGCTCTTGAAAACTGTCTGCGATGCAACAACGTACATATTGTAGGGCTTCCAGAATGCATTGAGGGAAGTAACCCCACACAATCGAAACCTGGCTAATTGTGATTTCTGGCAAAGAAGCATTTACTCCTCTGTTTGCAATAGAATGGGCACATCGCACTCCTTGCCCTCTGGACAACTGCCCAGACCTGTTTTGGTGCATCTCCTCAACTACACAGATAGAGTGATCATACTACGACTGGCTAGGGAGCATTCCAACTCTTCAGTTCAATGGGGCTAAAGTTTCCTCTTAGCTTGACTTCTCAGCGGAGGTGCAGCGTAAGAGCACAAAATTGCTTGAGATTAAAGGTTGCCTCCGGACCCTGCAACTGA